ACAGGTTGAACAATTTTCTCTGAAAGTTAACTCTCCTCGCTTTAAATTTGCATGGATGTCCAACAACACCTAAGCACCTGGACATGTATCGGTAAGAGGAAAAATAAAGCTATGGTATGAGTAAAGAGATATCATTTCCCCATAGCTTTCCAAAATTCTTCTTGGCTTCGCACTGAGGCTTCTTTGGCAAAAGCGCGGCTGCAGTGCTGCACCCCGCAGCTCTGGCGAGCAAAAGCCCTGGAAGCTCTAAGCTGCTGGAGCGGTTTCAAAGCTGACGACTGTGGCTCTGAAGAAGTTTGTGCAAATGGCTGTACGCTACGGCACTGGGAGCTATCGGAGACTGGCAAGCGGGGGGAAGCCAACATGGCTTATATTTTTAAAAAGTTGGAATTTATTTCAGATAACATTATCGAACAGGTGTGGAATGAGTCAAAACCAGGTTTGAGGAAAAAAAAACAAAACAAAACTGGATTTAAGGCCTACTTGAAACCTACAGGGTTTCTTTGGGCTTTGGAAAGCAGCCGTCATGCCAGTCTCCCAAAGTTACTACTCCAAAGCCTGCACAGTGTGTCTGCATCCCCGTGCTGGGGCACTCGGGCATTCTGCCATCAGGACGCTGAAAACGCAGAGCCATACCAGTTCCCAAGCTACGTATCCTGTTACGAGCACAAAAAGCCAAAGCTTTCTAAGCACTTGACCCCTGGCATTCCCTTGTACAGTCACGTGAAACACTCAGTTCAAACTACTGTTTACAAAATTGAAAACACAAAGTAAAATGTCATGGCGTTGATTATGTGTTTTCCTCCCACAAGAACTTGTAGGCCACTTCAGAAAACAAAGAAGCTGTTTTCACAGAGGAAAACTGATCCATATAATAAACTATGATCCTTGACTTTGCTTGAACACTGCAGGTTGTCCTGCTATAAAAAGGAAAGGATCAACAAGACCTGGCAAAGAAGTCTTTGCTAATTTCTAGCACCGAAGACATCCCACTTGCCAGGAAGCAGAATGGGAGTGAAGCAGGTTTACAACGTCTTTAAAAAACAAATCCAAGGAAAAAAAGGCAAATAAAGTGAGGAGATACAGCCTGCAAGCAAAAGACATTGCTTCTAAAGCCCAGAAGGAAAAATGAGAGCAAAATTTTAGCTGCAGATCATTTTGCTCATCTAGCCACACAGGTACAGTCTCGTGGTATTTTGCTTCGTCAACTTATTTAGGAGAAAAGCCTAACAGTTTATAGCATAAAATCTTTACAGCATGTTTTAAAAGCCGTCAGTGGATTATTTTGTTACCAATCTGTTCAGAGATGCCCATGATACTGTGGACTGCCAGCCAAAGGTCAAGCAGCAGTATCTTGAGTTCCCAAATTTTCCTGATGCATTGGTCAAAACCAGAGAACTGTTAAAAAACAGCTGTTTCGCAAGTGCAACAGTTGCTTCATTAATAGCAATGTTCTAGCCCAGAAACGGCTGCACCAGTGGCTGACGAAGCAGTTATACGTGCATAGCTTATAATCTCAAAGCGCTTCTAGATTTGTAAAAAGGTGCTAAAACACTAAATAAATAAATAAATAGACACGCAGCGTTTATGATTCTGTGAGGGGATAAGCCCTCTCTCTGGACTACGCATACATTAGCAACACTGAATTACCCGTTTCAGACGAAAGTAGCCCAACCCAGCCAGGATTTACCGAATTAGCCGGGCAAGTACAAGCTTTTCAAACCTCATGGAAATGCTTGAAGTCCAAAGCTAAGAGTATCACAAACATGTAAGAACTGATGTGTCATCACAGTGGAGTCCCTTACTTGGCATCCAGCGGCAAGGGTTGCCTGCATGCGTTCAGGAACTAGGTGGTAGGCAGCAAACAAGCATATCCATCTGCTTTCCCCACATTCTTCATAAGGTTTTATGGTCTCATTTGTCAGTACAGCTATTTGCATTCAGAGAATTGCTCTCTGAGTCTGACCCATTGATTTTACCCCAAACATGAACCAGTCACGATTGCGGCTCTTGGTTGCCTTCATGAGAAAAACTAGAACTGTTCCAGTCTCAGACGGCAGTGCAGCAGTGAGGTTCCGAATAACCTTTCTTATGATAGCAAATTGGAAAAAGTAGGAAAATGGCGATAAAATTGTTTCACCTCCCCAGCAAAACTAACTTCTGCCAACATGGCCTGTTCCTCCAAGAGTCCATTAAATGATAGCATTGGTTCAAATTCAAGTTTAACTGGAGGAAACCTAGTACAGGACATGTTCTCTAGTCTTCCTGTCTTTGTAACAACAGCTTCCTCACTTCACATAGCCCGAAAATATTAGGAGCCAGAAATGCTGCACCGCTCACTTACATCTGGGAACAAATTCAGTGCACAACCATGGCACAAGGCAGGATGGTCACCGCACAGCTAACCGCCTCCAGCAGAGCAGTTACCTGCGCTTTCAGGTATGGGGAGAGCAAGTTAACTGTTTACAGTTTAAATGTAAATGTAAGCAACAAGTACTCATTTATTTACAAAAGCATCAGGCTATTTGTGAGCTCTCCCAGTTCCATCTTCCACTGCACAGTAATATCTGTATTAGTCTCACCCTCAGAGGTTTGTCAAGCACAGATTATTTGGTCTTCCACATGCACCACGGGTCTGACTGTCTTGTACACACTGGTGTAACATACAAGGCAGAATCACCCAGTCACAGGCTCAGTTCAGGTTTTCCAGTTCCAGTGCCACCTGAATTATTAGCTATCACAGCAGCAGGTATGAAGGCACTTCTCAAAAAGGTTTTAAAAGCCCATTTGCGTGAACTGTTTGGAATCTATGAACCGAGCATTTGAATCCTTGACCCTAGCCGAGGATTTTATTAAGTAGTTGCACATGGAAGTTCACAGTACAGATTTTACAGTGAACACTAAGGCTGTAACATTTGCCTGGCCAGCAGGAAGCCAGAGGAACTAGAGGCTTTGCACACCCAGGCGCCACCAGTTACTGATTCCTTAGAAAGGCTTGGAGATCCATAGGTGGAGCTGGGGCCACAGCATGGACACACAGGTCCTCAAAGTTAGTTTCAGGGTCTTTTCCCCCTCAATGTTTGCCCAGAAGCAGACAAAGCAGGGTAGACAGGCACTGCCCCATTCCACCCTACGTATACCCGCAGATCTAGATGCTTAAGGTCAATAGCTGGTGGAAGGGAAGGATGAAGGAGCAACTCAGTGAGGTGAGTGCTATGTAAGAAGAATGGACTTATGCCTCACTGTGGACTTTCCTTTTACAGCCCTGTTTCCTCTGTGCAAAACCTATTTCCTTAAATACAAACTATAAAAAAAACGAGCACAAGGAGGTGCAGGAAGTCCTTATGCAGGCAGATCCTGCCTACATAAAATAAGTGTTTTCGTAAACAAGTAAGAACATCCATTGGCCAAGATATGTATTAAGATCATCCACATTTGTGACTGGGATGCCAGCTATCAGAACCAGAGAACAGTTACCATTCCCTGCCTTATAACTTAACATAGTGCGTGCCGCCTTCTGCAGAGCTCCTTGCCCAGATTGTTCTGTTATAAAAAACATTGCTAATTTAAAAAGAAACCATGCTTGGTTTCTCATAGTACAACACATATGGCACTAGAAAGCAACTCCTGCGAGCCTCTATACTTTAGGGAACAGCATTTGCCAAGGGAGGAGCAAGAGCCTGGACTATCTCAGCTGCAGCTCACAGCTCCAGCACTGGATCAAGACTGTTTGTCAGAATAGCTGCTATGAGTTAGGTGGGACAACTGTTAGCCATCATTGCACAGCCCATAAGCTCTTATCTTAGAGATGGGACAGATAAAGGCTTCTAGATTGCAAATGCATTAACAAATGCCTTTTTCTGCTGCAGAAGGATCTGCGTGGCTGGACTCCAAACGCAGGCAGAGACAGACTGACAGGCCCCCATGCTAGCAGAGCTCTTCGCGAGATCAGAACCTCCCAGCAGAAACAAAAGGAAAGGAAAAAAACTGCCTCCCTCTCCAGAGCTATTTGTTGCTTTTCTAACTCAATGTCAAGGCTAAGCTTCAACTGCTTTTTTCCCCCCTAGGCACAAACAAGGAGAAGAGCAGCAAGAGAGTCACCTCTGGACAGACTCCTCCTTCCCTCAGATCTCATGACAGATATATTTTGAGGCTCCTAATCATTGGGGTAGGTGGTGTAAGTATACAGGACTGCAGACCTGTAGATATTGTTTGAGGTAAGAGTGCATGGGGTTGGGAAGACCGCACCCCTAGCAAGCTCCAAGCAGGACAGAAGCCCTAGGATACCATAGCAACAAGGCAGCTAAAAATGGTAATGAAAACAAGAGCAGAACTGAGATCTGTTATGTTAGGATTACTCACCAGGTGTGCATTAGCCATCAGTTATTGCAACAGAACAAATAAGGCATGCAAATATTTTGGCCATCTCATTGGCCTCTATGTTGTGCTTTTTTTTGTTTTGCAGAAAGCATTGGCTGAAGATTTAAGGCTCAATCATATTTCAAAAAAAGAACTGCTAAATCGGTTGATTTTGTTTATGTCCTGCATATTTCACATTGTATGTGGCGAGAGAGAGAGAGAGAAGACAAAACCTCTGGGACTAGCGTAAGTCAAATTCATCCCACCGGAATGTAGATAACTATAGTGGGTTCAACCTTATTTAGCATTTAGGGCATCTGAGCTGTTGTTCTACCACCAAATCATCTGCTTAAAGCAAATAAAAATGACATGGTAGGGTTTAATATTGTCAAGTCAGCCATTTGTACTAAGGCAGCTGCTGTTACATTTGTGTCTTCTGGTTTTGTTTTTCTGACAGCTTACCCCACTGCTTAGAACAGGAGTTCTCCAAAAGAAGTTTAGTCTCCATTAATGGCTTGGTTGGCTAAGTCCCACCCCAAATAACATCAACACAGGAGTATAAAAATACAGCAGTTAGAAAAAATACTTTCCAACCAACACACAGGCAGAAAAGGAAGATGACGCACTATAATCCCTTCCTGACCATCAATGCATTTAAAATATTATAAAATTAGTAATGGAAACAGAACTGAAGATCCTGGGCGATCTTTAGACACAAGTTGGAACAGCAGGGTAGAAAAGTAAATGAGCACTCCACTTTTAAATTTAACAGCAACTGGCAGTGCTCCTGTAATTAGTATTTTCTCAACAGCAAACATTCTGAATAAAGAATGTACCGTATCTTAAATCCCTGTGCGGTACACACAACTTGCAGTTTAAGTGAGCTGGCAAAGCAAAGGCGGACAAATTCAGAGTTTAAGAATTTGTGTGTAGAAATCCCCTTCTATTAACAACTGGACCAAATCTGAATTGCATAAAATATTCAGGTGCCTTTTAAAATTATAATAGAATAAATACTCTATTATCATTGGTACGTTCCTTTCTCAATCTAGGTATACAATAACTTAATATATTTAATATTTAGATAAACAATTTTAGTAGATGCTTTGGCAGTCAAATTCTTACATATTCTCTATTTCTACAGAAGTATTTAATTATGTTTTTGGAAAAAATTATCTGGATACTACTTACAAGAATTATATGCTGTACAAAACAGCAGTCCAAATCATCACTGCAAACTGTAAAAGACACAGTTAAGAGTATAAAAAGGAATGCATATTTGCTAGAAGATATCCAACATTCACAGGAAGGAAGAAGATACATCTGCACCATGATTTTTTCTTTTCTTGCCAATGAAGCCAGAGAAAGATTGTCAGTTATTTGTAAAGCATTTCACTTATTCCAGTTTATGCAACAACTGTGTTTCCTACGCTCCACACATCAGTGTTACAATGGTTTGGAACAGATTTGTTTCCTTGGGCAATGCTTGTTCATGACAATTAAAAAAGGTAAAAAAAGTCTTCAATCATTTGTTTAGTCTGACTAAAAAGCTACTAACTGGTACATTATGATGAGTGGGCAATAGGTGTTTCCTCATTACAAAATGACTGTTGTTTTTTATTTGTATTGGGGGTGGGGGGTGGAGGGGTGGGAGGTGGGAAGAGAAGAGAAAAACACAGGACCTTCTGAGTGTTCACACTGAGAACTCTCTGGTTGGGCAACAGAGTGGAGCAATAAGAGTCCATAAGTACAGACAGACACAAACCCAACAGGAGACCATCTTAATCCAGAAGATGGACCAGGTTCCAGTGAAGAATTTTTCAATCTGAGCACTTTCATAACTGTTAAAAAAAAAAAAAAGAAAAAAAGGAAGCAATAAACTCACTATTCATATCTCAGACTGCAGTATCCTCTGTTTTTCCAAGTGGGTCACAGACTTCCACTAGGTTAACCCAGACACAAAGCAGGGGAAAGCAGCCCTTTACAGAGCAAGATCTTGCTCAAGAATCGCTCGGGAAAGACTTGCACATCTCTTCCAGCTTCTTATTTGAGGAGAGGAGACACACTAAGGGCAGAAATTCCCGTTCACATCTCCCCTCTCAATGCAGAGAGACATTAATTACTCAGCTTTAAAGAAATACACTTACTGGAACCAATGAGTTACTGTCATCATCACGTAGAGCGAAGCCAAGAAGAAAACAAAGTGGAAGTAAGCATAACTGTACACGGTGCCTTTCTTTTCATCGTAAATCACAGTCTGGCCTCCCCTCTTCTCAATGTGCTCTTCAGCATCAGCTGTAAGAGACAGGAAACAAGAAAGCTTTTGCAAATTTAATGAGAACTGAAAACAGCAGCTGACTTAACGAAGAACACAGCAAAACACAGAATCACAGAATCATAGAATAGTTTGGGTTGGAAGGGACCTCTAAAGGTCATCTAGTCCAACCCCCCTGCCGTGGGCAGGGACATCTTCAACTCGATCAGGTTGCTCAAAGCCCCGTCCAACTTGACCTTGAACGTTTCCAGGGATGGGGCATCCACGACCTCTCTGGGCAACCTGTGCCAGTGTTTCACCACCCTCAGCATAAAAAATACATCTATGATGTGATTTAGGAAAGAATGATAAAGAGCCACACTTGAACATTTCCTTGCCCTCAGGGCATGGGTCTAAGCCTTTAGTAAAAGAAATTGGACTGCCACTGAAATCCTACCCTGTATGAGCTTCCTGGCCTACTGGCTAGTTTTTGAGCATTTGGGCCATATGAATTGCTCTACCTGTGTGCTATTCTTCTGGCAAGTCCAAGCTGATAACCCTGACTGTACCAGGTCTGCAAACAGGACACTCCCTTCCTAACTCACTCCTGAACTGCAGTCCCTGTAGAGCTGCTGAGCCAAAAATCCAGCAGTCAGTCACACCCACAAGCATGCAAAGAGCCGAGATCACTCTGTGTATGTTGCAGTAATGGAATGTCCTGTAAGGAATTATTAACTAGCCTGTTGTTTTAAAATGGTATTGTTACATCTCTTGTTTCCTTCCCTAGCCTAACTTCGAGCACTTCAGCTGCTTCAGTTTGATATGCTACAGAACGAGGATACAAGCAGCTCTCCATCTGCAGCTGTGACCTTATTCTCTCGGCTTTGGCCTGAAAGACCAAAGTGAGGTAAATCGTGCAGTGAAAATGTAATTACCATCTCCATCAGGCATGCAGCAAAAGCAGCAACGAGCTACCTGTGGAACAGACAACAGGAAGGGTAAGAGTCTGTGCTACAGCAAAGAAGCAGAACAGTTGGTGAAGGAAGGTCTGTTATGTCTACGTTATAGACACTAATTTAGAAAAGTCTGGTTTGTATTTCCAACCAGCACATAATGCAAATTAGGATTTGCCAAGTAGTTCATAACAGCAGTTTCTAAGCTTCGGAAAAACCTACTCAGTAAGATTTGGAGCAAATTAACCATTCTTTAAGAATTGCTCTACCCTTTTTACATAACTCAAGGTCAAACACTGGTGCAAATAATTATGACAAAATGGTGGAAAGGCTACAGTAAAGCAGTTGCACATTAGTAGTTCAGAGGGGACTTACCTCTTCAGACTTCCATCAAAGTGCTTTTTAAATGAAAAATTTCTCTACTGAAATGACAGTATAAGGAACTTTTAAAACCCCACTGCATGTGTTGGAAATCACAACTGCACAAGTCTAAGTCAGAAATGTACTTACCTTTGCAAGATTTTGCTGAAATGGAGCCAGAATGAGTACAAGCAGAATGAGTAAAAGCAGAAAGCTGGTTTTACTGCTTTCTTTAAATGAAGATTTTCTTTTTTTTTTAACTGATGGAAAAAGGAAAGCTGAAATTGACATTTCTTTTGTTGAGTGGTAATGTAAATGGGAAAAGGGTGCTGACCATCCAATAAATATATAAGTAAGTGCATTTTCTGCACCAGACCACAGTACAAGTCAGCACTTTCTGTACTGCATCACCAACAGTGTTTGTTCTGATAAAATCCTACTCTGGGATATATTTTGGTTATGGTCTGATGAAGACAATGAACCCTGTTAGGAAAATTCCCTTCCCTAACTATTGTATCAATCAGTCTTTATAGTATGAAAATGTATTAACTTTGTTAATATATATTAGTTCACAGTATACACTGCAATGTAATGAGGTAGTGGAGTTTTACTGGAGACTTTGTGGTACTGTTCATGCTTAAGTAAAACAAACTAAAGGATGGTCTGGCCCTGGAAATAAGGACTTTGCTTCTTGGAAGCTTAGAGCTGTCCATGAAGGATAAAAGATACCCCTGGATAACCAAGATAATGCCAGCATTCTAGCCCCTCTAACATATCTTTGAAACCCTCCCAGCATTATAGATAAGTAACTATCGCAAGACTGACTCCAGGGACATCTGGATCAATATACAAGCGGCAAGAACACTGCAGAAATATAGTTGCTTTGCAAAGTTTTACTATGACTAGTAATTGGTGGTGTTGGTGTTAGTAATTAGTCAAATCATGCTACACTTGAAGGGTATAAGGACCCTGTGTAAAACCACATTCAGGGTGCCCCAGTTTGGCTGGGACACCTCATGTGCATGAATAAGTACTTACACTTGTAATTATATACTTTGTGTTCTGGCCTCCTTCCTCAGTCGGCGTGGGCCAGTTGCAAGTTTTTCTAACACCCCCAAAAATCAGATAGTAAGCCTTTAAGGTAAAGTGTCCAACAGAAACACCAAATGGCAGTTTTTACCCTGCATATCCATGATTACATTACTCACAGGGTTCATAAACTCATGAAAAGCCAAAAAGCTCATTCTTTTTTAAAAGACTGGCTGAGAATTTAAATAAAAACCCTTATTCCGTATCTCTTTCTACTGCTGCGCCAAGTATCACCTACAGCACCAGCCTGAGCTCCCCTTGGGCCGCACTCACATTCTGAAGCAAGTGCTGGGTTCCCTCAAGCTTTTTAATCAGTTGCTATTAAGTCCTTGCATACACAGAGTGATGAAATCAGCAACGCTGGCACACATAACGCTAGCCTCTCATAATGCTCAGTCGTCTTCAGCACAGATGCCAACAGACCCTCTGTACAGCACAAGCAACTGCAGAGCTACTTTCACGCTCCTGGCCAGGAGACTAAGGCCCTTTGCCACAGGGAAGGCAAGCAGAGTGCAATTAGTTGCTTTTCACCAGTCATTTCTTTATATTTACGTTCAGCAGCTCTTGTACTGCTCTTTAAAACCGAACGGTCTGGAAATAATCCCGTCTGCAAGCACTGCGGCAGATGCGCAGGACCTTCCCAGTGAGGGGGCCGCATCCAGCGTCCATGCTGTGCCAGCTGCCCCTAGCCTGCCCGCTGCTCCTGCTGCAGGGTGCACCGCAGCCCCAAGCCCTTTGGATGAGACCTCCTACGGCGTAACACTGGCAGAGGAAGGGGGGTGGATGTGAAGGGCAGCTGTTTTCTCTCCGGTCCCCCCCTCCCGGCCCCGGCCTGCCCCTCCTTGGGAGGGAAGGTGCAGGTCCTGCCCGGATCTGCCTGAGGCGGGACGGGCCATGCTTGATGCTGAGCCTGCTGGCAGGCTGCCCGCCTGCGAGGGCTGGGGTGAGGAGCCACTGGGCACATAGCTCCTCAGCGCTGGCACCAGCGCCCCGTCCTGCCGCACTGTCCTGCCAGAGGAAAGCTTCTCCAGCACCGACATGCTCCCACAGTGAAGCACGTTTTGCTTCTCCACGCCCAGCTACTGCAAACACCAAGTGCCTCAGCAGATACTTCTGCATTTTTGGATTCTCACAAACACTCCGATTAAAAACTTGAAAAATAGAAGTTAAAGCTGCAGATGCAAGTAACACCAACGTAGAGAGAGCTAGGGATGGAGATTCATCCTCCGGACACACACACACATCCATCCATTTGAAAAGTGACATTAGCAAGCCTAAGTAAGGAGTAATTGTTACTTAGCAAAAAAACCACTCATTTCTCAGCGTTTCTGGGTGTTCCCAGGATAAGAAGGCCAAAGAAGTAGGCAGGTGGAATGAAGAAACCTGTACTGATGAAACAGGGACAAGAAATACAATCCGAGATGAAATTATAGGCAAAAAGAAAGGAAGTACTTATGTGTGGAAATAAAAATAAGAGATAGGAACTTGGGATCATAGTTAGTTGCTATGAGAACAAAGGCAACCAGGACTGAAAACATTCACGAACGCCTCCACTTCTTTTTCTGATCACTTCCCAGCACTTTTCCTTTAAATGAGAGGACATGAGCTTGTGTGGAGCACAACAGGATTTACAGGAAGTCTGCAGGATGTTAAATAAACTGCAAGAGCAGCAAATTATTTCATAACATAAAGGCACCTCCATGGGACCAGCAAGAGCTGCAGAAGGGCCAATGTGGACAAGTGTTCTGACAAGCCCATACCCAGAGGCACACAGCATGCATGCTACGAACAAGCTTTTGTTTTCACCTAATTACAGATTACTTAGCCATGAAAACAACAGCAAGAAAAGCACGAGGAAATTTGTACAGAAATCGTGTGGGAGGAAGTAAGAACTCACTTCAGTTTCAGGTGTTGCATATATTCCCCTCAGTGCCTCTGAGCTTGCACGTGTTGTTGAGGTCAAACTAGGAGCAAAAGAATATAGTCTCAAAACCCTCAGCATAAGTATAAGCCCAACAGAGTGATTTTTCAACACCACAGCAGACATAAATAGCCTACTCCCATGTCTAAGCTAAGCATTTGCTCGGATATAGCATTAAGCACTAAGCATGTGAAAAGTTTGTTCTGTACAAGTATAAACCAGCCTGATAGCCAGCCACTAGCCAATCAGGCTGAATCATGAGCTTAAAAGTAGGTCAACTGAAAGGTGGTGAATTCATCACCATCAGACAGCAGCAAACAACTAAGCACTCCAATTTGCAATTTAGAATAAATCTCCCCTGCTGTGCACAACCAATGCTTTTACATTAACTTCACAGCCATCACTTTGGCTCAGCATTTCTGTAAAAGCTTTGCCAGGGAAGTAACAGGTCACCGGCAGTTTTCAAAAGTAAATTACCAACCATTATTGTCAGTGTACCAGTTGCTGGAAATCACTTTCCTGCATGACTGTAGTTGTCTGGGGGGGAATCCTTTCTAGTTTCTTCTGATTAGAAACAGTTCTTGCCCAGTCTTCCCCTTTCAGGATGTGTAATGCAAACTTCCCCTTACCCACAGGAAGACTGTGTTAATGCTTTGCTGTACACACTGAGCCTTAGTAAGCAGTACTGCAAAACATTCACCTTGAAGGCCTTCTGATCTCCCCAGCTACATGGTGCACTTCCCCTGCAGGCTATGTGAAGATTGTCTGCATTCCCAAAACACCTTCCTCAGGCACTGGAAATACTTTTCTAATGTGAACTAGATCCATGATACCCATATATTTGACATAAGAATTAAATGGAACACATATGCATATATGATAGCAGAAGAGTAGCTGTGCTACCTCTTCAGAAAGTCTCTCATTTTCACTTTAAAATTACAAAGGACTTTCAGTATGTGAATTTTGAAGTGGACTGATTCAGAAGCAGAACTTGCTCAAAAACTTGCAGCAGAGAGGCAGTGCTGTCTCCTGGCAACCTGCACAGCCAAAACAAGTGATACATGACCTTTCAATCATCAGCAACTTGCCCCCTGCCCGGTCCCAGAGCATGACTTAATTTATTGATGTGAGCTGCAATAATACAAGGTGAGTACCACAAACATATGGGCACAAACACATTTTTTCACAGCAGGAGACTGCTGGCAAATCCTGATGGCAGTGTTGTACCCATCACTTGTTCAAAGGAAGACCTAAACCCTCCCAAACAGTTTTGTTAAGACCCTCAAGGAACAGTCATAGCCTCTGGCAGGAGGCTACAGAAATTTCAGATAGCTTTTTTAGATAGACATAACTGCATAGAGTTTTTCTTATAGAAAGCGTAAATACAGAATCAAAGCACTCTGAGACTGTCTGGGATCACGGACAGCTGGAAGTTTTTTCCCTCCACCTCTAGATGTAAATTGTTCTGTTTGGTTTTAATGAAATATATTTGCTTCAAAAGTTATATTATCTTGATGAACATTTTTGGCTAAAACATCTAACCATTCTGAAACTAAGGAGAACATGAACCTTCCAACTCAGTTCTATTCTACTGCTCCCCATTACTTTGTCTGCATGATGTCTGCTGTAAGCCTTCACTAGTTGGACCACAACATTGCATTTACAGTGAGGTAACTGCAAACACCCAGACTTACCAAGAATATAAAATGCAGCCAAACAAAATGGTAGTACCCAGGCCAGTAACAAGGTTTTCATCTCTGTGCAGGCCTTGGCTAAATTCAGGTACACAGATTGTGATGTTCTGATTGTTTTCGTCCAGGACTTCACAAAACAAAAGAAACAAAGAGAACAGTTAGCAAAGCTCATTTCACTGCATTTCTTCAGGCTGAAGGTTTTCAGTGAAGTATTTTTATTACTTCAGACACTGGGTAGGTACATTTCAGTGGTTTCTATCTATCTTTTTAAAAAAAGATCATACAGAAAAAAGTTCTGTAAATCTGACCTGGCAGATTCTGTGTTTTGGGCAAAACAAAAATGCAACTTTGTAGGGTACTAAAATTTCTTGTTTGACCAGGGCAGACAAACAAGGAAAAAGGCCATCTGGTGAACTAAGAAGTTGGAAGTTTACCAACACTTCACCCAAGACTACAGAGCCATGTAACACCGAGATAGTACAGACCTGAGACCATAAATTTCTTTGACAGCAGGGGTGCCTTGAGGACAACTATGAAACTCATACTCAGTGAAAAAAGGTGGTGTGTAGCTGCCCTGTTCTCAGACTGATATACAGAAGACCAAAGAAAAGGAGATGCACCAGTTAAAGGCAAGATTTTATCTTACCATCTAAGCAAATACTACTTTTAGGTCCCTGAAATGAAACCAATTCAGTCGTCAATATTCCAAGATGCATCTGGCTTTTTAGTGTCTGCTTGGGGTCAAAGCAAAGCAGAGCAGTAGCCTGTAGCATCACTCCAAAGCAGGAGATTACAGCTGCACCTTATCTCAAATCAAGAGCTTTTTGAGCCAATGCTGTTTAAGGCAAACTGTGTTCTTATCTCCTCTTTACTTCCAGCAGCCACTCTGCATTCCCATTGGGACAGCGCAACTGTTTGTAGGGGCAGAGGGCAAAATGTAGCAAAGGCTACACCCAGGTTAAAAATAAACTTAAGTCAGTCCCCTGATCTGGTGGGGGAGGACTCTGTGTGGCCCTGCAAGGCTGCACAAACAGTTTTATCAGCATACAGCAGGGACAGTGCGAAGGTGGGAGCAAAAGAAGGGATGACAAACCTTTACAGAATCATAGAATCATTTAGGCTGGAAAAGACCCTTAAGATCATCGAGTCCAACCGTTTACTTAACACTGCCAAGTCCACCACTAAACCATGTCCTTGAGCACCACGTCTACATGTGTTTTAAATAGCTTCAGGGATGGTGACTCAACCTCTTCCCTGGGCAGCCTGTTCCAATGCTTGACAACCCAGTCGGTGAAGTAATTTTTCCTAATATCCAATCTAAACCTCCCCTGGTGCAACTCGAGGCCATTTCCTCTTGTGCTATCGCTTGTTACTTGGGAGAAGAGACCAACACCCACCTGGCTACAACCTCCTTTCAGGTAGTCGTAGAGAGCGATAAGGTCTCCCCTCAGCCTCCTTTTCTCCAGGCTAAACAGTCCCAGCTCCCTCAGCCGCTCCTCATAAGACCCTTCACCAGCTTTGTTGCTCATCAGGGACACATCTGCAGCAAGGCAGGTCCACTGTTTCGCAGGCCTTTTAGCCAAGTCTGGCACCAAAAAGCTAAGGCACACTATGATAAGCACAGGTTCAACAGACGTTACCTTTTGTTTGCCCATTCCTTCTAAAGACATTTGCAACTCTACTTTTTGGGTGTTGCAGATAAATACTTGTAGCTTGCATTTTCTTCAAGCCTGGTTTGCAAGGTGGCCGATTTGCAAGATGGCCGATTTGCAAGTCCCTCTTTGAGGAATGAGTCAACATTAGGTAAGTTCATGGCAAATTTGAGTGACAGGGCATGGGACCTAGTAAGTGACAGCACCCCATACATTCTCCAGCACGTGCTAGTGTAAAAGCTGCACAGGCCAGTACAAGAGTCCTTATCACACAGACAGGGGAGAAAGGAGCATCTCTGAGAGCAGATGACAACCAAGAGAGTTCTCTGGCCTGGGAAGACAAAGAGGAACATCTGATTCAGGAGGTCTGAGGGAGTGTGCTTGATGCATACTCTGACAAATGCAATAACCACAGTTACAATACATACAAGAAGAATCAGAGCATTCACTTAACTGCTGAAGGCTTTGACTGTCACAAGCATGAAATAACACGAGACCAATTATTTAATACCATACATCACTTTCTCCCCCCCCTTTTTTTTTACACTGTGTCAAGTTTTATGAGTAATTCAGCTGTCTTCTAAATTAACTGCTATATTAATTCAAAAACACTGCTTAAGCTCCGTAAGTAAATCTTCCACCTGAATACTGTTTTTCCTTCTTAGCTCTAGAATACATTTGTGTGTTTGTGCCTGTGCCTACACAAGTGTGACAGAGAGAGATTCTTTTCCTCATCTCTCCCCTTTCTTCTTGGGAGGTGTCTGTAAAAACTTCTCCTTCTTGCCAGCGGACTTATTTTCCTCTAGTTATTGTTGTTTCAACTATTCAACACTGAAAGTTGAGCAATAATAAAGAATGGGGGTTTAGCATTACTAATTTGAACCAGAAAAGTCTGCTGTAAGTGAAAAGAATGCTGTCCAAACAGGTGAATCTGATGGTTACCTGGGAAAAGGAAACAGTTTGAGTTGTGCTTGTAAAGTCTCGCTGTGTTTTTGTAGCATAAAGAACTTAAAACTCTAGAGAGTTCCGTACTTCTGGCTTGCAATGCCAATGGTTAGAAGGCAAGTGGAGTACAGGAACTCTACTGAAGAACAGCATCGTCTCAAACAACTGCAACGTAACTCCAAGTCCTTCCTCAGAATGTTTCCTCTCAAAATGGAAGACAAGTGTTAATCAAGTTTTTGCTCAATTAGAGGTCCAGAGCTAAGGCTGTCTAGCATACCAATTCTAGCAGAAAAGAAATTATTTTAGTATCGGCTCTGATGGCCAGCACCTACTAACTTTTGGATGGAGCTGACCACCCAGCTTCTTCCAGAGGCATCCAAGAGCCGTTTGTTCCAACTCCCTTCCCATCCCGTGACCAAACACGTTACATATTTAGTCATGTCCTGTCATACGAGAACATGCACTTGCCACATAAAGGATAGGCTACAAGACTAGGAAATTTGTCCATAGGAAACAGGCTGGAATTGCTCTGGTGCAACAGATGCAGCTCACCCAAAGTAAGTTAAGCTCCCCTAGACCAAAGCATGCAGACTGCCAATTGCATGGTCTCTCTTGCTGCACAGATTTTAGTATTTGCAATTTCTTCTGCATAGGCCAGAACAGAGCCAACCCAGCACTCCTATATCCCCGAATTTGTTAATTCAGGTTTACTAAATTCTTGCTTTTAATACATGGCATGTCTAAAAGAATTTAAATAAAGCATTAGGTAACTTACTAGTTTCTGGTGGTTTGCTGGATAGTGCTGAGAAAGTGAGGTACATAACGTAGCAGCTGATAACTCCTGACTGCAGCAAACCAGAATGGGGCTGGCCTTTACAAGAAAGAGGAAAATAAGTGATTTCTGCAGACATTTTAACAAACTGAAAAAGAAATTCATATTCTTGAAAGAACAGCACGCTAGTATCTTTCAGAAGAGAAGAGCATCTTTTATGTTTTACTTAAAGCAGTTCATAAGTCTTGGAGGCAGTTTACATACATCGCCACTGGCATGTAAAGAGAAAAGAGTGTCCTTTAGTTCTGCTGGCTGTTTTAGAAAGGCATTAAAGATTCCTACGTAAGTAAAGAATCACCCCTCTGCTCTCTCCAAAAGCACCTGCTTTCCAAAAGCTATTGACAAGCTGCCATGATAGTTTTATGTGCCTGTAAAAATCTGTGTTGGAGTTACTCAAATTACTATTTCCAGGTCCAATGTATGCAAGATACTAACAGCACACATAAAATATACCGAAGCATGAAATACTGCTGTCAACTTCTCCAGACCCAAACTTTACAGATGGTAAATCACACACAGTCAAAAGTAAACAGTAAAACAGTGGTGAATGAGTTTGACACCTATTAACCTCAACTGCTACCACTGCAAGAGTTGTGTGAGCTCCACAACACACTATCGGCCATCAGCACGTTAGCCTTCTTTACAGTATGACTGCCTGGTGCCACACTCAAAACTACAGAAGTGTGAGATGTTTTAACAGCTCATCTGATAACCAGCAACAGCACTTCATAGTGCAGATAAAGGGACAGGGGCAAGAGCAGCACCAACTCTGAGCTATCATGAGACTTTCCACCTAGGAACACGGCTCACGCCTCCAGGCACACAACTGTGGCAGCACCAGAAACCCAGGAGGAGAAGAAGTCAGTGGACTCACGATTCTGGACACAGGGCGATATGGCCACCAGCGACACAAAGAGGCACAGGCCACCGTTAACACCGATGAGGATCTTGTTGTACATGCAGCCCTCTGAGCGCGTGTAGAAAAGAGCCATGAGGACCAGGGCTGCCACAGCAACAGAGTACAAGGTGAGAGTGACCAGGGCAAGCAAACCATTCCACATCTGCTTGTGGTTTGCACCTGCAGTCCTGCGGAGAGAGAGACAAGCACATTGTCTTCCCTTCCCCCAAAAATAAAATTCTAATAGCTGAATAGTTCATATCCTAAAACACAAAAGACAGTGCTTACTTTCCTGAAGCATGTGTATGTCACTACACCAACACAGGACCTTGCAAGGTTCCTCTGATGAAACAGAGGGAAACATTCCTTAGCATTAGTGTTTACCTTCGGTATTATCATGCCCAGCTCTTTCTGTAATTATAGCCCAGTGCGACTCAGAGAATTCCCAACCTCTGGGATCAGCCCATCAGTGCATCTCAGCTCAGTACTTCAGGGATTTTCTCAGAGGGAACTCGGGAGTGCCCCAGGCTCAGCTAGAGAACGATGCTCTTCACCCAAGGACAGCAAAGGCATATTGCTTGGCATGGCCTCTCTTCTGCCCGTTGCAGACAGTTTTACTGCCCTTTCACTCAAAAAGCCTCCTCTCCATTTGGGCCTATCCTACCAGTCTCCCTCAGCTAAAGTGTGGTCCATGTTGTTTCCCTTCTTCACCTTCCAAACACCTCTTGTAAAGATCACTGGGTTCTTTTAGGAGTAGCAACTAAAAAAGTTGTTTTGGGACAAAGGGCTTTTTGGTGCATGAAAGGTTTTTTGAGGTTTTGTTGTTGTTGTTTCGTGAAACATGGCTTATTTTAAAAGAATATCTAATGTAGAGAGTTACAGTTAAATGCTGCTGCTGGAAATCTTTCATCCACAGAAAAGCAGCTACAGTAATTAGCAGCAAAAATACCTGTGGTATAAGGAGATCTCACCTCATCCTCCCTGAAAACAGGTATCTAACAACGCCCAAAGGTTTGCTTTCTTAGCAGTCAGTATGCTAACTAGAACAAGAGAGGACTGCAAAGGTTGTAGAGGAAGAAAAGAGAGAGAGTGGGTGGAGGTGGAGGCAGGAGTTAGTGCATATACGTGGGAGGACAATTTAAATATTTTAAATTGATGAGAGGCTAAGGGCTAGGAAGGTAATAGCAAATATGCTTAAACCAGAAATTAAGTCAGTGCCAAAATGGGGTATATGTGGGTTGATAATGGAATCTAGCATATTTAGATGAAGCAAAGAAGTTGAAGAGAAAGTAGCAGTTCTCATGTCGAGAAAAAAAAAATTGATGTGCATTAAGCTGACACAGAAAAGCAGGATTTACCAGTTTACATCACTGGTAAATAAGATTTACCAGTTTACATCACTGCACACAGTTGCAAATCTAGTTTTATTCTCCTGCACCACTCTGTTTCTTAGCAGGTATATTTTCATATAAAATATAAAACAACTTAAAGTAAGAGGTTTTTGCATCCCAACACGCTACTACTTATTGGAAGCTCAGCAATTCAGGTTAAGAATAAATCAGCAGAGTAGAAGTGAATAAGGAGGAAACATCTCTGCTGGGGAAGGAGAAAGCGGATGAAGCAAAGATGAACAGCTCAAAATATTGACATTGAAGTGTCTTCTATCAGAAATTACATCCATGTTACTTTTAAATTCTTTGTTACAAGAAACGTATTGTTCAGGAGTCCACCAGAATTTTATGCACATAACTACTTGCCCAACGCATACCAATTTTTATTCCATTTGTGTGCGAACTCAACAAGCAGGATGAGCTGAATGGCAATGAAAAGGAAACCTCCTGTTGCTCCTACGTAGCGCCAGGCTGCAAGGCAGAGAGCAGAAAATAGGTCAAACTGCAGTCGCCTTTCCCTTGAGATAAAATGGAATTATTGTCTATGCAGTGAAGCCATTACACAGTTTGAATATCTCAAGCCCACAGATGTAGCAGGAGATGAGAGACTTCAGTTGAAAGGCCAGCTCAGCTAACTCAAGATTAGCTCCCCAATGAATTCAGCTTGAAACCTGCTACACTTTCAAAATAAGCCTGTTAGGGCATTTACTGAGTTTCCCTAACCTAGAGAATGTTTGTGGAGACTACGAGTTACTATATTCAGACAGAAAATACTGAAACCTTTATTTGTGACTGGCGGGAGGGAGGTGGTGTGAAGGCATTTCACAGGAATCTAAACCCTGAAATTGCAAGGTACTGGAATCCAGTACTAAAAAGGGCAATTTCTTCCCTTCCAGATTCCAATACCACAGAAAAAACAAAGGTGGGGCTTATCTATTTACAAATGCTGTCCCGAGCCACTCCCAAAGAGACAGGAACACTTGGTATTTACTGACTAGTTTTAAGACAGGTTGTTTGACTACTTAACCATTGACCTACATATACTGTATTTGGTAGCTGTTTGGACACTTCGGACAACAGATCTCTTGTGTGCAACATCAGAAGTCTCTGAGGAAATACAGATACCTATTTAAATGTTTAGTTGCATATACAGCTTGTGCTGCTGTGCAGTGCATAGCCTATAAATGACTCCAGGCGTGCGGCATTTCAGTGAAGACGACCAAGGAAGTGCATTAGCATTCAGCCATATCCTACCATTGTGTTTTCCTTTTGAAAAAAGCTTGTATAAGTGAAGTGGAAGAACAGAACAGTCAGGGCACACTACCCTTAGCAGATGACATAGAGATCTTTTTTTTTTTTTTCACTGTACCATAAGCTCATTATCTGAAAGCAAGCAAAAATGCCATTTGTCTGGTTTTGCTAAACTTATTGTATGCACTTAATAAGCATGCTTTTCTTCAAACAAACAAAAACCGGAAGAAGCTACCATATAAAAAAGTATATGAAAATAGGCAGGGAACAAGGCGTGCACGTGTGTTTGGGAGAGGTAGATTAGGAAAAAGCAGACTTCCAATGGAGTAAGTAAATAAATACCCAGCCTCTCAGGATCTCCCACTGCCACAGGCAGGACACTGAGGGATGTTTTATGGATCCATCACAGATAAGGTTAGCATGGCCAGTGTGGATTTAACACTACAGCCCACACAAACCTAGTGCTTCCACGTAATACTCCTCCTCCATGATTAACAAACTGCTATGCATGGAAAGCATGGCAAGAGCTTTTTTTTTTTTTTTTTTTTTTTAAGAAAAAATAAGCAAACTGGGAGAATGCTCAAAAAAAAAAAGATGACAATCTAAGTTTCTTGATTGGGGGCGGGGGGGGGGAAGGGAAAACAAAACCACACAATACCCAAACCATTTGTATATCTCAAATACAGGGGCTGACTGGCGGACAGTTTAGCAGGATGTGCAGAATGTGCACATTCACACAAAGACCATGTACGCTGCACACGCAGAGTTCCCCCCAAACAGCTCCAAATATTCCTTTTGCACCTGGACTATACTGGCTTTACTTGAAGAAATATGGCGATATTCACATTGATCAGAACTTTAGGATTTATAACCACTCACAAGGTAGTACAGAACGAAGCAACGTAACAAAACAAGAAGGACGTACCATTGAGGAAAGTGTCCTGATCAGGAATGAAGAAGGCTCCTGAGCACATTGCTGCCAGAAGTATAAGTTTAACGAGCCAGAATCTGGACAAGACAAGAGGAGGGGGGAAAAAAAAAATGGTTATAATAGGAATTAGAGGTCTTAAACTCAAGTACCATGAGAAATCGCTATTTAAAGCCCAACAAGAGAAAAAACAACCTTTGATGACTGATTACCACTTCAGTTAGTTTTGACTTGACTGCATTATTCACTTTGGGGTTTTGAGGGGTTTTTTTTTTCCTAGTACTACACCCAATTGGAAAGTAGGCAGCACGAACCTGTAAAGAGAAGTGGAAACTAAGCAATCAAACAAATACTCACCCATTATGAATATATGCTCGGCAGCTTTTGCTGCTGTTAATTTTGATGGTGAACAAGAAGAACAAAAAGAAGAAACAGGCCATTCCAAAACAGACTTTGTACACCGCAGAGTATCCCACCAACTTCTCGCACATCTCACCCGCCTGAATACCCTTGCACATCTGCTTGTAGAAGGGAATCTGAAAAGCACAACACGTTACAAGCCGTCAGATAGGACACAGGGCTCCTTGTAACTAAGCATGTCTATGTCTATGTCTATGCACCACCGACTTTTCACTGGCTTCATTTAACACCTTTCGGTCTTGATACCCCTCAGCCTGGATTTAAGGGTTCAAGGGACATAAAGAAATGTCAAACACAAGGGACTAGTGTCTTCCAGAGCCTCAACTCTCAACTCCTTCCAGATGCTTTGGGGTACAAGTCCACCTACCTTTCCTTCAGCTCTGTTGGCTTAAGCCATGCCTGCCCCTTATGGCTTATCCCCTCACGCCAGGGACTCTCTCCATTCTTCCTGTACTTTACAGCAAACGACTTCGATTGCTTCAGTAATCCAGCTTACATGAACCATACTGGTGGTTTTACCAGCCGAAGGGGCATGAATAGGGCTGCAGGGCAGGAAGCTCTGGCTCGTGCTGCCCTTGATGGAAACGTAGACCGAAACACACCCAAGCAGCACAGGGGCAGCAAGTCCCCTCCCCTCCATCACAGCCTCTGAAATGGAGTTGTGCCAGTTGCCCTGATTTTGTTTTAAATTAACAGAAAGGCAGGAAAATTCCACCTTTCTCTTGACTCATTAAATATTTGCCTTTGAGGCCTTGCTCTTGCCATGAGGGGAAAGCAAACAGCTGCACATTTTGGCTTCAGTTTCACCAGGCGGACATGATGCTGGGTGCTCAAAAAAGCAGGTCTGTGTGGCCAGGACCCACTCCTGTGGGGTGCCTCTGTGCAGACACCCCCCCTCGCAGCCAGGGAGCCATTCAGCTGCGCAGAAATACAGGCATTTAATTAGAAAACCGCCGTTCCGTTTCAAAGAAAGAAGGGCCTCTCTGTACGCTCACAGCCCTCAGCCAAAGCTGGTGAGACCAGTCGAGCAACACACCAAACCCTCTGGAGCTGATCGCTGCTACCTGCACAGGTAACTGGAGCAGACAGAAGACAATGTGTGCCAGGACACAACACGCACAAATAAGTAACTTGGGCAAAGGAAATGGGAATCTGACTTCAGAAAGCATTCAGCCAGGCCAGATTTTGCTTAGGAAAGATATACAGAGATTGTGGGCAACACCATCCTTGAACACTTCCAAGAAACTAGTGAAGATAGGAGTCTATCCGTCCTTCAGCAGGCAGGTCAGTACACAAAACCACAACAGGGAAAGAACTAATAGGACCTGAGAGCAAGCGATCAGGCAGCATTCCCAGCTGGGTAGAAAGCCATCCAAGATGCAGGAAACACATAAACTGCCGGCTTCCAGTCACCAGGCTCTGAGAGCCTGCTTCCCTCAGCAGGGTATGCAACTTCCCATCGCATGCCAGCAACCCAAACCAGTCAGGAGCTTGACAACCCTCCTAGCAGTTTCCCAAAAAGAACAAATATTTTAGCAGCTCACAGTAACACTGAGTTGCTGTGCTAAGGGTAGCAAACCTAACTACGGTACCGAGCTGATCCTAGGTGGGCTAGAACCAGCAGAGGAGATGAAAAGCAGGTCTCATGGCAGCAGCATGGTGTTACAAGAACAGATTCAAGCTGGGCCACTCTGAGATGCTCTTTCAGAAGTAACTCGGAGATGAGTAGCCACTGCACAGTAAACAAATAGCTGTAGCTAACTTGCATCCAAGAGTTTTTAGAGAGCTCCTGAGAAATTGCCTGGAGCATTAGCGATGCCCTTCCCAGGTCTTGAAAGTCAATGAAACATCATACTGGGCAAACATGCCAGCATTCAAAATGAACAAATAGATTTACTGGAATAGTTGAGAGACCTATCAATGCCACAGTGATGCCACGGCAAGCCAAGGGGCCACAGCAATGCCAGGGAAAGCAACTTGGCTATCAATTAATGCTTTCCAGTTCTTTACTTACAATAACCATCGGTCAGCAGAGATTAAAAAGATGCATAACATTGAACTAACAATATTTCTGAGAAAGTTAGATATCTGTTTGATATAGACAATAGTACTGGCCAAGGAGACAGATTTCTGTAAGATCTGTACTAGGTACCAAGCAGCATTTTGCTTATGAGACTTATAGAACAAAACAAAAAAATACCATGGAACTTGACTAATTGAGTAGCTAATTAAAAACAGATCTCTGGGTGACTGTAAATGGGCATCTTCTTTGATTGCATAGTTTTTTACAGAGATCTTGATGGGATTTTTGACCCTATATGTTCTTTTCTCCATTTAGTAGTAATTTCCTTACAGATCTGGCTGAGAGAAAATGGATGGATTCACAAGAACAATAGCTCAGTTCGTGCCTACACAAGCAACAAAGAGCTCAGCTGCCATGTAGTGTGCACAACACTATGCAGTAATAAGTGATGGCCACAGGAATAGTCCTGTGGGATTGAATGCCCTTTTTGGAGACCCATGATCCTGAAGGAACAAAACAAGAATAAAACCAAACTCTTGGGGACCCCAACAGATGATAAACATGAGCACAATGCTGGGGACAAAAGGGCTGATGTAATGAAAAGGGCATGTTTTCATGAGAGGATGGTCTACTGCTGGGAACAATTTATCAAAGCTTATGTGACTTCTTTACTGAAAGTTAAAAAAGACTAATTTTTTTTTTTTTTTTTAATTCTGTATCTCTGAAACATGTTAAGCTGCTGAGCAGCCTGCCCAGCTTATGTGATTTACCAGACTTTCTATTTGCTGGGTAGTTTTGCCAGCTGCTAAAGTCACAGATTAGTTATTTGCCAAGTTTGATATAGTGAAATAGCTACTTTTATTCCTTTAAAAGCAACATTAGCTAAATTCTTTGGCCTCTGAGTAGGGGACAAAGCATTCTTGCTGCAGAAACTCGGTATCTGCTCATATATGTAAACACCTCGGTTGCTGCGCAAGCAATGATGTTATCACAGCAAAGTCGGCAATTTTCCGAGTGCTGTGAAACCCTCTGAGAGGATAGCAACAACTGCAGAAACAGGGACAGACCGCCCTGAACTTGCTTTCCCCTCACTGCGAGCTGCTGACGCCCGAAATAAATGCACTGCAAGAAGCAAGCCAACACAGCCACACTGCGTTCAGGCTCCAGCCGGCCAGGGCTTGGCCACCTCTGAGCTTGGGTCTGTCTGCACCCAAACATGTGAATGCAGGAGCGCGGGAAATAGCATCAGAGGGGGAATAGGAAGGAAGAAGCATGTAGAAATGGGCCTGAAAAGCCCGAAGGAGACTGCTTTTGTCTGGATGTCCTCATCCAGCAGAGGGAGAATGTGGCAGACGAACTTTGTTATGGAAATGGAGGAAGCATGAAAGAAAATCTGTGTAGGTGGGGAGACAAGGGCAAAAAAAACAGGTAAAACCGCCTGTCTTGAGCAGCTGAGAAATGGAATAGAAAAACAAAAACCCATCGGACCAAAACTCAGGCCATCTTGCATCTATGGCTAAATTCTTATCAGAAATAGGCAATAGGCATCTGCACTTAAAAAAACTCATTTTTTGGTAGCAAATTTGGGTTTTAACATACTATAATGCAGTTAAGGGCCAAGATATAAACCTGGCTGGGGAAACAAGCCTGAAAGCATGCTCTGCCAGAACATGTAACCGTCTAGAACTGAAATACTTTGACACAACTGAACTGGTTTTTACTGGTGTTTGTTTTTCTGAAAACATCTTTCTTATTTTTCCTTTCATTATTTAAGTAGAACATGGATATTTTCAGGGTGAAACCACAAGTTTTGAAACAGCTTTAACATTAAAATTTAATTAAAAAAATCAAAACACTATTTCGACAGACCAAAACAATTCTCTCCCTTTTCTTCTCCCAATTATCCTTTCAAAGCCTGTGAAATGCAAGGTTTTGCTTCAACAGAACGTTTTTGAGTAAAGCTGTACCTGTTTTTCAAAAAAACAGAATAACTGGAAAAAAGAAATAATCAAGGCATAGAAGTAGTTCTTCAAGTTGGGTCCTGCTTTGCTTCATTTTGGAACAGAGTCAAGTCTCTAAACCATTTTGTGTAACTGCATATTGGTCTTTTCTGTCTTTCTGTCCCCAACACTGAGGCTCTCATGTCTTGATTGGTGCTCTACCCCATTTTTTGCCTTGATACACAACCTTGCTCCTCTGAAATCTATTCTACATGCTACTATTCAAAATATTTTCCTGGTCAAAACCATCCACTCCTTCCCTATCCCTCCACTGCCTCTTGCTTCTTTCCCAGAGATGAAACACAAATGCCTTGGTTTCTTTGCACATTTTTCAGAGTTTAACCCTTTGTGCCCCTCTCTCTTGGTGTCCCGTGGGTGCAGGAACAGCTCAGGAGATGGGGAAGACGAGTGAAAACAACAGAGAAAAAACTCCCCCCCAAAAGACACTGTTCAATTCTTAAGGCTCACCACAAAATATGATGTCCTCAAAATACTGCTAGTTAGATTAGGAACCAAGGTTTTGAAACCATAACCAAATACTTCACAGGTACCGTGTCCTTCCACTGACACATGGTTTCGTCTACCTGCCAACTTTGGTGAGGATGTGGAAGTTGAGCTCCCTGGGACAGTGCCTTATTTTTCCAGCCATGTTGCAGGGCACAGAGCAGGTCCCCAGCTCTGGGATGGCACCTGCAGAGTCTGGCACTTTGGGAACTGAAAAACTGTCCTAAATGTGTTTTAATAGACAGAATGCATAACCATGGGGGTAGATAAATACTGCAAAACAAATACAAACATTTTTTAAAAGTCTCTGTTTAAGGTGTCCTTAAGAGATGTACATTTGCTGTTGTTTCCTCTCAAAACAATGCCAAAGGACCAAGTGCTACCATAAATACTTATAGAACTACTTTAGACTTGGGAATTTATAGCCAATCAACCAAAAAAACCTCTCACTGACAAGGGAGAGATTCCTTTCACGTAACATCAGCATGAGTATTTGAACTCTAAACTGGTAGAGCAGACACACAGTTCCCTGCCAAGATTATGGTTCCATAAAGGATTGCACTAAAATTTTAAATTTTAATTTTAATACAGAAATTAAAAAATTCTAATTAAAATTAATTAAAATTCTGTCTCCTCTCAAAAAGGAGAGGGTGAGGTCCTAGAAGCATCATGCAAAGTGTTTGCTTACAGTCTGGCTTCAGGAGCTAGAAGTGCTTCACAGTCCATCCAAAAGCAAAGGAATCAGTAAGTGCCCAGCACTTTCAAAACACAGCTCATCACTGGGAAGCTGAGACTGGTTAGTCTGAATAAATATTTTCAAGGTGCACTGTATTACAACTGGGCTGAATTAGCTTCAGGAGTCTTTGAACTTTTAACAGCCCCGAACATAATTATTAAATTAGAGAGCAGATAAAGAAAGCCTACTTTCAGATGGTCCATTTCCCATTCAAAGACATCAAATGCTCTAAATTAAGAGGGTGATTATCTTTCCACTTCACACTAACAGCTACTTTTTGTGCCATTTCTTCCCACACTGAGCTTTCAAGACTATGAACTGGAAAAGAAATTTGGCAATACTGAAAAGCATGTTGTTGAAGGCTTCTTGAATCACTTTTCTGTTGGATAAAGAACGAGTATTTTTTGTTAGGGATACAAGCTGCATTAAAACCACACTACTGATGGAAAACGACTTTATGAAATTTGGATATGAGCACGTAATTTGTCTCCCACACTAAAGTGGGTTATGCACTTTATTGCCAAGCTAAGCATCTAGTAAGTCAAAGTAATTCCTGGCAAGCAATTTCAGGACACACATGTTGAACAGTTTTTAAGTTGCAGCTCACAGGCAAGGATCACGCCTGTACTGGGTGCTCTTATAGGGCTGTCAGCAACTTCTCGTGGCTGGGGGTAAGGAGGTGGCACTAGGATAACTCAAGCAAAGCACTATTAAATGAAAGAAAATTAGGACAGAACATACAAAGAGGGTACAATGGGAAGAAAGAAAGGTCACTGGCAGCAGAGCACAGAAACCCTCAAACTAGCCCTGTCATAAGCCCGCTGGTTTATCTGTGTTACAGGCACAGGGTGCTACCACAAGCTTCTGGATCTGGGCTGCTGTGGAGGCAAGTGTTTCACAGACAACTGAAAGTCAAGCACAGAAGGTAAGCAGGGCATCAACTCGATCAGAAACTGGTTAAACAAGGAAACAGCCTTAACTGTGCACCCACCTGTACTCCCTCTTGGGAGGGTAACACGAAACAACTAGATGCCCGCAGCGAGGGAAGCCTTCTGAACCTCCAGGGCAAGCACATTCACAACCCTGAAGCAGGCCCAATGAGTTTGGTGCAGAAACTTAATTTTTAAGAATTAAGCAAACCAGCCATTGTTACCTCTACTTAAAAACAGACTTCTCTTCTTGTAGTTTATAGAGGGCGAGAGAGAGGATTTGTGCTACTGGCAGCAACTTGGGTGGCTTAAGAAACCAAACCAAAGATGTGGTACAACAGGTCTAGTGTGTGACCGCAAGCAGGCTGGTGAGCATTTAGCTTAGGAAAGTTATATTAAGACTCTGAAAAAAACCTTGAGTTTTAAAATCTAGTTTTAGCCACAGCTCCTTTCATGCTTTTGAAGCTTTTTAATTAAAAAGACAATTAGAGATGAACAATATCTGCTGTGGTTAGAGGCCATGTGAACACGATGACTCAACGCACACTGAAGAAAACCCCTTGTAAAGGATCCCGCAGCACTGTGCATTGCAGTAGTCTGTCACACAGCACCAAGAACACAGAATTAAAATTATAAATGCTTCACCTGAAGAGTTATTTTCTAATTTGCTGCTTCTGCTACTAAACAAGTTGCCAGAGACAAACTCAACGTTAGACTGAATCCATTTGTTCTACTATAACATGCTACCTAACAGCCTCTAGTGACACTACCCATGCAGCAAACCTGGGATTGGTTCACTGCAGCAGGTTTCCACACAACGAAAGAGGAGGAAGGCTGCTAGTCCTTGACTCTTCCTGTTGTGAAACACACTCAACGGGTGAGCAATTGACAGGAAGAGGCTGAGCACGGAAAATCATCCCGTCTGGGTTTGGAAGTGTGATGGGTGGAGGGAATCGACCACCTCTTCTGAAAGAGCACCCCTATACATGAAGAGCTGTGGAAGGAGCCCCATTTCCTTCCAGGGGTAGCAGTGGATTCCACTCTCTTACTTACGTGCATTTTCATTTCGTTAGCTACTGTTGTTGACATCATGACACAACAGATGATAGTCACCAGGATGAAGTAAAGCGCATACATGAAGCGGGTGCTGGTTGACTGTTTTATCTTGGGGCAGCATTTGCAGCACAAGGAACAAGCAGCAGTACCGCAGCAGCAGGCCAACTGGAAAGTAAGACAAAAAACACAAGTCATTCCATCACTGCCTTTAGGTTTCTATTGCAAAAGTCAGGAAAGCTGGGAAACTTCCTGTAAAACTCCAGAATTTCTTAAGTCCTCTCCTCCCAGCTGAGCAGTATTTAAGTGGAAGCAGACTGTCTTGTTTATCAAAAGTCACTAAGTTTAAGCACATCGGTTTCTAGCTTTCCCACACACTAAGGATGAGAGCGAAGAGGATGAGGAGGAACCGCTCCCGATTTCTTAATCCTGCTCTTCGCTATCTCTGTGCAGCTTGTGGACCTGACACGTTTCACCCAGCAGAACAGGCATTGCAATGGTAAGGCTCCGTTTCCTGCAATACACTCTCCCCCCTCTGTAGTGAAAAAACAAATCTGCACAAGAAGGACACAGACTCCAAAACTGTTTGCTTTTAACATACAGACAAAGCTATTTTGTTTCTAAGATGAACAAAATCTTTTTTCTTTTTTTTTTTTGCTACAGAACTTTTTTTGCTACTAAAGACTGAACAAATTAAAGGGGGGAGGGAAAAGTGTTTAAGCCACACTTTGGGATGGTTGTGCTGAAGGCTTTATAAACAGACAACAGCTACAAAACACCCCAAACAAACTCAAACCAACCAACAAAAAACTACCTTAACAGTTCTAAATATTTTGGGCAGTAGAGAAAGAATCTGGAAATACTTGGCTTACTGCAAACAAAGAAAAAGATAGCTGAGCTTGAAGGACCCGAAATACAATGACACCATCTTGTACTGAAGAAAGCGAGAGAAGAAATGCAACTTCATCATTATTTAGACACACTTTGCAAAGGTGAAACCAATGATTCCATGTGCAAGATGGCAAGGAAAAAAATCCACATCTGCAAGGAAAATAATACCAAATCAAACTTTAGCTGATACTGTCTCCAATGTTTAAACGTTATTAGAGACAGAATTCCTAGTGTATTTTAGTTCTTTTCTCCCTGCAACAGAGGGTCCACCAAGATAAAAACCAAGAAGCATAGCAAAAAGCACATAATTGCCTTATTCAACAGGGGAAAAAGTACTGAATAAATCCTGAAAGGGATCCAGCTTGATGCTCATTATTCCCTTGCTGTCAACAGTATCATTAACTTTCAAGGAAGCTGGATTCACCTTCCCTGCCTTCTACTTTTAGAAAAGTCATATATAAAAATATAAACATAAGCCTTATTTTTAAACATAAGGCAGCACTGTCCTTGGCCAGGCCCTTCCTTGCAATAGGCAGCCGCTTCATACAGCTCCCATGCTTAACCCAGCAGCTGCGACCACAGGAGCATTTTTGGACATCAGCAGGCAGCCAGAAGCAAGGAACCTCTTTTCCAGGTCTCACTGCTGCCGACCCAAAGCAACCTGACCCCTCAGCACTGCCATTTTCAAGGGGCTCCCTGTGGCTAGTGTGTAGCACAGGGGCAGCGTGCTGCCAGTGCCAGGGACCCAAGCACACTGAGGCTGCTTTTTCCCCCGGTGCTTCCTCAGCCCTTGGAGGGGCTGCGGGGATGTTCAGAGGACCCCCCTGCTTTCTAGCAAACAGTTGTACAAGCTGGATGGCTTTTCTTAGCCCTTGCCAAGGGATTCAAAATGCACAAGTGCCACATTTGAGTCGTCCAGGCAAACTTCACTGGCTTCTATGTGCCTTCAGGCACCAAACCACCACGCGCTATTTTCCTCCCAGGACACTTCCTCCTCCAGCATCAATGACTGTCCGACCCAGAGAAGCGGGCTTCACATCTGTGCTTGCAGACACGCGTTATCTGACATAACTCTACAGAGTCTCACAACCAGACTGTTTGATCAAAGAGCCCCAAATCATTTTGAAGAAATGTCTTGAAAAGACTCCTAGCTTATCATTTCCTTGCCATGACTATCTGTTGGAACACCCAAGCTCAGGCCTCCTGCCTTCAGCCCCGCAGAAAGGGGGTAGCGGATGGGCCCTTGCCTCACTCAAAAACGGCTCTTCAGTTTGCCGAAGACATAAAATAAGGTCAGTCCAACCCGGCTCTCACGCTGCCCTTCTCTCAGTCCACTTCTGGATCGCATGCCAGAGGAGATGGGGGCCTCAAAGCACGCAGCTGCTAAAACTGCTGCTGCTGCAAAACAGAAATCCTCCCCAAAACACACAAAGCTCCGACTGTGGGGAATAAACAGAATGGGCTCATGTTGGCACCAAGGCTGGAAATTAAAAATACTACGTGCATAAGCACATCGTGCAAGTATACTTTCAAAATAGAAGGCAGTGGTGGCTGAATGGCAATTTTATTTTTCATATGTAGTAAAATTAAGTTAACTTTTACAGCATCAATACAAGTCCAAGAAATAAGGAAGCTATGGCAAGTTACTATTCCATTTGTATGCTGAATCAGTAACATTTCAAAACAAAAACATACAAGTATAATCCATCTACTGCAGAATTACGGAAAAAAAAAAAGAAAATATTAAGACTGAAGGTCCTTTCAATCTGTATCACCCAGATCCAAAGTATCCATGACGAACTTCAACTGCTGGCCATACTCACCATAACATTAAAAACTAGAGTACAGAAGTAAAAATGTATGCAGCTTTGGCATTTGTAAGGGGAACAACAATTTCCTAAGCCAGGTGCTAGAGAGCTGTGCCAGTGAAACCTCATCTATGTCCAGCAACGGGTCTGCTATTCCAGTCCTGGGTCCCTGGAGTTGCTATTTAAAGTAACAAATACTCTAAATAGAATATATAGCTTATTTATGCATTGTTCCACATTACTTAGAGAGACTTTAATGATAGTTTCTAATACTAAGCATGTACCCTATAAATTGGCAATATTTATGAAAAATACCAGTGTCTCCATCTTTTTTCAGACGCACTCCTTTAAGCACTCTGAATAGCCATGGAAACCATAGAAAGTTGGTTAGGTTATTCAGCCACAGTCCCAAATTTCGTGGTTTTGGTTGGTGGTTTGTTTTTTTTTTTTCTTTTTTAAACTCTGGTTATGACTAACTACATTCCAGGGTAGGCCACAATGAAATAGGTGTTATTCAAAAATAAATGAAAACAGTCTCTGTCCCAAAGAGTAAGATGCTAGCCACAACCTACTGACCCAAGAGGTTTCAAAGATGTTATCTTTGGGTGACAGATTTCAAAGCCCACATACACAATGAGATCTCTGTTAAAAGGTTGTGGTCAACGTGCAGCTAAACTACGCAGTCCCTCTGATGCCGCCTGCTTTACCATGGGCATGGCCCATCTTGCCTTGCCTCTGCCTTTTGACCACAGCGAGGGTCTGCCCAGGGGCTCAGGACCCACCGATGCAGAAGTGCAAGCTGGTAACAAATTCTTCCCATGTTAAGAAACCGGGCTGTGGAAAAAAGCAAGTAATGTCATAAATCTTCTACAGATTCAGCTTATCATGAAACAAAAGTTCCTCCAAAGGACAGGTTCTGCAGAAGGAAAGCGCTGTGTGGTTTTCAGGACAGAGAAGACCCAAGGTCTGTGATTGCTACCAGCAGGCAGGCCTCGAAAATCCTGGTCAGTACCTACAGAGCTCCTTCAAAGTCCTTGATTCTTCCAAGTCCAGGATCCCCAAAAGCCCAGCACAATGGCATCCGAAAGCCAGGCTGCTCTGGGAGGAGTTTGTCACGCTGCAGCAGGCTCTGGCTTCAAGTCTTTCTCATCCAAAGGCTCCCACAAGTTAGGCAGCAAGTATAGCCACCCTGGCTCCCTCTCTAGATTTACATCTCCTCACCGGGTGAACACCACAGTCTGACAATAATTACAAGCACTATGCAAATATTTATGCTTTCCACAAATACTTAAAATCTGCTGGCCCCCTCACGCTAACCCACCACGACGCCAGGCCTCCACAATGTAGACTGGCTGCCTGCTTTGCTCGGTGCTACTCTTTCGGAGCTCAGGGAGGGTGCAGTGCCAGCTTGCCTGAGATCCCGTAACTTGAAAACCTAGTGTACTTGAAAACAGACTGCATTGCGATTTGAACTGCCTGGATGATGGCTGACTTGACTGGTTTCACAACAGCAGCTGTGGAAAGCTGCATGGGAAATTCTTCTGTTAAAAAGTATTCAAAGCACAGTTTCACAGACATTTCTTCTGGTAGCCAGACTGGCTTAACAGCCACTGGCTTTCCCCCCACCCTCCTCCTCTTCCCACCCCCC